GGTCAAAAATTGGTTAGAATATATGGTATAAAATTGGTCAAAATATATAGTTCCGACCATTTTGATTGATCAAAAATTTTTGACGATTTTATTGGTCATAATCAAAATTTTGACCACTTTGTTGGTCAAACCCAAAATTTTGACCATTTTTATTGGTCAAAAAGTTTTGATTATTTTCTGATCAAATTCCATTTGCGACCATCGATTTTTTATGAATCGATTTTGGTCAAGTATTAGTCAAAAATAACTGTTTTTGACCAATTTTAAACCAAATTGATAGTCAAAATTGGAATGTTTTCTTGTAACGAGAGATGTGTATCAATATGCGTACGACACAAATCAAAATATTTGGCAGACTTCTTTTTTTGTTGTTCCACTCAAATACACAACCCCCCCCTTGTTTTTCTACCGAAGAAACTTGTAGAGATCGATGCAAGCTTCAAGCTCCATAAGCTTAACTCGATATCTCCTTCAAAGAATTAAGAAACGTAAAAAACGCATATATATATATATATGAAAAATCATAGTTAATATTTTTAATGTGATTTTGATGAAGGTGATTTATGCCTATCGTATTTGTGTTTAGTAACCCTCGAAAGTCACACTAAACATACTTTCTCTGTTTTTTTTTTTGTATTGCTTAATAATTAATCAAATATATTTTGCTTTCCAATTTGCTTATAAATCTTTACCATAAAACATATCATTAGAAAGCATTGTCTATAGAAGAATTATTTAACACTTCTAAAAAAAAGTTATCATGTCCTAGTATAGACACTATGTAAGCAAACGAAAAATCAAGAACAGAAATATGCATAAATTTGATCCTCGTGGCCATAAATTACATTCGATTTTGCATTCCTTTTTATGGATTTAGTTTGTTGTTCGACGAAAAATCCTTAATCTAATAAACCATAATATGTTGGACCCGATCATTTAGGTCATATAGACCCCATGCTATTACAAAACATAAGCCAAACAAATTTCTAAGACATATGAACACATTCTTGCTAGTAAAAAGTGCATAAGAGTTGAAAACATGTATTACCCCAGTTTTGTATATGAAGTTTGGTCTTGAGTCTTGACGTTTGATGATTTGAAACAGCAAGGCATTCTCTTGAAACACACCAACCTAATCGAGAATTAAGGTAAAGTAACAGAGATGATAGTCAAAA